TTTTATAAATAATTTTTCCATGCGGTCGTGGCTGGGTGCTGTGGGATGCCAGGTATTTTAAAAAAAAAAAATCAAAAAGAGGCTAGAAAGAAATAGGCAAAGAGGGAAGGCGGTGCCGTAGGTTGCAAGGGGGCACTTCAGTGAGGACGAGGGAAGGGTTCCTTAGGGAGCCCCGGGGGCGGCGGGGGGGGCGGACCCACGGAGGCCGCGTGAGGGGTTCCAGCAGGGGGCTGCCCGGGCGCAGGGGGTGGGCCCCTCCTGCGGGGAGTCGGGGGCATGGACCCGGCCTGGGCGCGGAAGGGCGGCTTGGCCGGGAGGCCTGCGCGGGACAGAACGTCCCGGGGGAAGTGCCTTCCCAGAGCGCCGGGCACACTCCCGGGGCACAGAGCCGCGTCCTGGACCCCGTGCCCGTCTGCGCGGTGCCCGCCAGGCCAGGCCGCCTTCCTCACCCTGGAGTGTGGCCGCTGTGGGCCTCACGGGGGCCTGGGCAGTGGGCACTCGACCGTCGGTCCCTTTGCGCCTCGCTGGGCCTGGATCCCCGCCTCCCCCCGCTGGGCTCTGCGCCTGGGTTGCTGGGAGAGGCCGCGGCCTTCAGGGGGGCAGGCTTGCTGGACTGGTGTTTTTGCAAATGGTTACTTGGAGGTGAGGTTTGAAAAAGATCAACAAAAAGAATACGCCCGGAGTGTCAGGTGCTAACGTCAGCATTTCGGGGGCTGCAGGCAGGAAGCGCCGGCCTGGGCATTTGTCCAGCCCTGGCCCGTGCTGGTACTTGGCGATGACACGTATGTCTTGGAAGTGGGTGGCCGCGTGCACTGATGCCGAGTGCAGGCATGGACACCGACCCCCACTCCTCGCCGCCTCGGAGCCTTCCCCTCCGGCTCCTGGCTCCCAGCCGTGTAGAGGCCTGGACACGCACACGTGTGATATGTGCAGAGACGGGTGGGAGCACGTGTGCAGTCCTAGAGCTGCCCCAAGGGAAGGGCCTGGCTGGTCAGCTTAGGCCACACCCCCCCAGCTGTGGTGCTGGAGGCGGAGCCTGGGGCGGGGTGACGGGCAGCCACAGTGTGAGGTCGGGGGGTGCAGGGCCTCAGGACAGGCTGGCATTTTTGAGTGGGGCCGAGTGGGGTCAGAAAGCATCTGAGTGGGAATTGGGCCTGTGGAGCGTCCCCACAGGAGGCAAAGGGCATCCTGTCTGCCTCCTGTCCACGCAGCTGCCCCACGACTTGGCTGTTCTAGAACGTCAAGGCTTGGGGTGCTCATTGCCGTCTGGGACGCTGCAGACAGCTCCATTGTGCAGCGCTGGTTCCAACCTGGGGGGGGGGAGGGGTAGAAAGCCGAGCTGCCTGCAGACCCGGCCCCAGCACCTCACACCTCATGCCATTCCCATTTCCCACTTCCCTGGGAGCTGGAGGCTTTTTGACCCCTGGGTGTACCGCCTGCAGCCCGTGTGTGACTGCAGTGGGGTGATGTGGGCCACGGGCTGCCTGAGCAGGGTCTGGGGGATGGGAAGGTGGTCTGGTCAGCAGGGCTGGGGGGCCCACCTCTCCTAGAAACCTTCCTCACTAGCCCAGCCTCGTGGCTCCCCAGCACCTTGGGCACAGCTCTGAGGCCAGGTCCTCAGCTTCCCGCAGGGCCCTCCGGACAGCAGGCTCCGTGCTCGCTCCGCAAGCTGCTTTCCCGGCTCCGCAGGGGCGAGAGGGCCCGGGACCGAGGTCCTGCAGGTCAGTGCAGCCGCGAGTGAGGTCTCTCTAACCAGGACCAGCCCTGCTGCGTCCGCGCCTTTGCCCTGGGCCTGGGGGCCAGGCAGGGCGGCATCCCTCTGGGGCCTCCCCAACCATGGGCCCCGAGGACTCTGGCAGCTCGGCAGGGCGGCCCCCTCTATGGGAGAGGTGTCAGTGTGCCTCCGGGTGAGGGCTGGACCCAGTGGGGGAGTCGGCAGCCAGCGGGGCTCAGGGGCCATTCTCGTGTTGGCTGTGGCGTCGCTCCTGGTGCAGCCTCGCCCCGTCTCCTGCCTGCAGCCCCTGGCGGGGCGGGCGCCCTTCCTGAGCTGTGGGCTTGCGAGCTGGTTCTCAGAGGGAAGTGTCCCAACTCCCAGTGGCTTTTCTCCCGCGAGGGATGGGCGTTCGTTTGGGGGCCCTCATGGAACGCGGGCCATCGGGAGCGGGTGCTGAGGAAGTAGAGGTGGGCCCTGCGTCGCTCAGCTGTCCTGGGGGATCTGGCCGCAGGGCTGGGACCCCGGACGTCCCTGTGGGCGCTCGGCCCCATCCCCACACCGGCTCCACGCCCAAGTGGCGCTCTGCTGCCCTCCGCTGTGGCCAGGCTCTGGGCGCTGCTCCTCTGGCCGGCATGCCCTCTCCCCAGAGCCATCTGCCACCCTCACCTCAGAAGCCCGGCAGCCGGGACCTCCCGTGCGCTCCGCAGGCCGCTGCTCCCCTTGGTACGCATTCTTGTCAGTGGCTCCTCAGGGCGCCTCTGTCCCTGTCCGGCGGGGACCTGGGTGGCAGAGCGCCTTCTGGAGAAGGGAGGCAGGTTCTTAGGGCTCTGGCCACCGGGCGAGAGGTCTTGCTGTCTGTGCCCGGAGGGCCTTGCAGAGCTGGCTGGCTCTCAGCTCCTGGGGTGCGGCACCTGGCCGGCTGGTCCCGTCTGCGTGGCGTTGACAGCCCTGTCCTTGTGCTCAGGGCAGGGAGGCTCCCCCAGACGGCGCTCTGGTGACGGACACTCGTGGCATGGGCCTCCTCACCTTGCTCCGCATCCCTCAGCCCGCGGGTGCAGAGGGCGGGGCTGCGCTGGACCCTCCACAGCTCCGGTGGGCAGTGGGGCTCAGGCCCCAGCAGAGCGGATGGGAGGGCGCTCAGATGGCGCCTCCCAGGAAGTGCCCGGCTCAGTGTGACGGTGCCTGGGCAGGGGGAGCTGGCCCCTCCTGGGATGTCGGTGGTGGGTCTGTGGTGCTCACCTCTGCTCCTCCAGCCACCTCGCCGCACGCCGCCTCAGCGAGCAGCTTCTGGAAGGGCCCGCAGCCCCTGGGCCGCCTGTCTGACTGCCTCTAACCTGCTGCTTTCTCTCCATGCTGTCCTAGGAGGTCAGAGTGAAAGTAAGTACGCCCGCTCCTGCCGCGCTCCCGTCACCTGAGCCGGGGCCCCAGGTAGCGGCACTGCCCTTCCTCTTGCCCCGCACCCCTCAGGGCTTCCCTGGGCAGGGCAGGCGACGGGCCCCACTTGCCCTTGCCTCAGTCCTCGGGCCTAGTTGGGGCGTCCAGAGACAGACTTCCCCTCCCCTGAGCTGTGGCCACCAGAGCCCTGAGCACCTGGGCTGGTGTCGGGGGCCAAGGAAGTGCTGAGGCCAACAGGGTCTGGCAGGGCTTGGGCACTAGGGGCCAGCCTTGTGGGCTGAGCCAGAGGGGCCAGGCCTCAGAGAGGTCAGAGGGCACATAAGCCCTGCCTGCTCATCCTGCTGCCCCTTCAGGGACAGTGAGTGATGTCACAATGCCCTGCCTTCTGGGCACAAGCTCCTGCCTCCCACCACTGCCTCTGCGGCCAGCCTGGCCTTGGTAAGTGCTGCCACCAGCCTGGGCAGGAAGGTGCCGGGGCGTGTGCCGTTAAAGGCCCCCACGTACCCCTGCAGGGGACAAGGGTCTCTCCCCGAAGTGCCCGGCAGGTGTGGGGCTTGGTCCCCGTGTCCATGGGCTTCCACCTCTGCTGGTGTTAGGAAGCGTGTGGGTCCAGGCGAGGAGGGGGAAGGGTTTGCCCTCCCGGCTGAAAGGCTGCCCTGCTCTGGAGACCTTGCCCCCTAGGTCTGAGGGCGCCTGGCTCTGTGGGCCACCGGGTCGACGGTCGCTTACGCTCCACCAGTGACCCACAGGAGCCGGGACGGTAGGGGTGTCCTGAGGGAGGGCCGCAGCCCTGGCGAGTTAGCACTGGGTGTTGGTCAGGATGCCGCCCTCTGCTCTGGGGAGCAGGCCCAGGGTGGGGCTGTGGCTGGGAGGCAAGCTCACAGCCACCTTCTAGGAAGGCCCCTGGGTGAGCAGGGATCCCGGGCTGCGGGCCCAGGCCCCTCTGTTCCTGCTCAGTGGGGGCTGCCTCCCGTTTCTGGGCTGGTCCGCGGAGTGCCAGCCACAGCGCCACGCCTGGCAGCAGGGCGGTGGGTGGTGAGGCTGTTGCTACGAGGGCGGCAGACAACGAAGGTCCCCTCCATGAGGAAGGTGGGGCTCAGCCCCCAGCTGCCTCCCACTGCCCCACTGATGGTGCCCCTTACCCCACGATGGCCACCTCAGAGACCGCCCAGTGCTTCCGTTAAAACCAGTGCCCGGAGGTGGTCGGGCTTAGCAAAGGCACAGGCCGTCCAGGGACCATTTCAGGTCAATAGTAACTGTCGTGGACGTGAGTCTCCCTGTCTCATGGGCCAGGCTTGTTGGGAAGGGTGTTCCCGTGGGGGTCAGGTGGAGGGAGCGCACTGGTTCCCCGGCATCCAGTCGGGGATTCTATCAGAAAAGGTTTCCGAGGTTTGGAAACCATCTTCTCTAGACCCCTTTGGAGAGCATGGTGCATGTTGGGTTAGAAAAGAAGCTTTGCAGTTAAAAGAATACAAATATTCATACACCCGTACGTGTATTTTACCTTCTGATTGCTTCACTGAGGTCCCTGCGGGTCTGACTTGGGGTCCTGCATGTTGCCGGATGGCACCCCCCTTGGGAAGCATCCGCAGGGTCCTGCGGCACCAGCCGGGCTGCTGAGGGCGGGGCGGGGCGGCCGCGGGCGCTGTGCTCAACTGCCTTCTGTGCTTGCTTCCACTGCTGCGCGCAGATGAGGAGCGGCAAGGCCTCCTGTGCCCTGGAGACCGTCTGGGAGGACAAGCAGAAGCATGGGGAGGCCGAGCAGCGCGCCCACGAGCACCAGGCCACGCGAGCCGCCGCCGCTGCCCAGCAGCTCCCGGCTCAGGTGCCAGCCGTGAATGGGCCGGGGCCGGAGGAGGCCGAGGCCCCGGACAGCAGCAGGGGCAGCCCCCGGAAGAGCCATTACGGGCGGCAGCCCCTGCAGAAGAAGCGGAAGCGCTCCCCGAAGAGCGGGCTGGGCAGGGCAGACCTGGCCCTCGTGGGCCTCTCGGCCGACCACGTCTGGCTGGACAAGCCGCTTTTCGACCAGGCGGAGAGCTCCTACCGTCAGAGGCTGGCAGACTTGGCTGCCCAGGCAGCCCGGCCACCGGTGCTGGCCCCCAGGGGTCCTTGCACCCACGGAAGCCAGGTGGCCTGCCACCATGTGACCTGGGGCATCTGGGTCAACAAGTCTGCCTTTGACCAGGCCGAGAGGGCCTTCGTGGAGTGGTCTCAGGCTCTGCTGCTAGCCACCGAGGGCAGCAGCGGGCAGGGGGCTCCTGACACGGGCCAGCAGGCACCTGCCTTGGCCCTGGCCCTCGCCCACCAGCCTAGCTCCCCAGCCAATGGCCAGCCCCCGCTGGGCAGCCTGCAGGCGCTGGTGCGGGAGGTGTGGCTGGACAAGCCCCGCTACGACGCAGCTGAGAGGGGCTTCTACGAGGCCCTGTTCGACGGCCACCCCCCCCGGAAAGTGCGCCTGCAGGAGCGAGCCAGCCAGGCCGAGAATGCCAAGCGGGCCCGCCGAGAGCGGCGGGCCCGCAACGCCGTGGGAAGCAAGCGGGCTGAGCTGAGGCGGGCCGAGGCGGGGGTCCCTCCGTCTGCCCTGCCCTACTGGTACTTCCTGCACAAGGACGCCGAGGCGCCCTGGCTCAGCAAGCCCACCTACGACAGTGCGGAGTGCCGCCACCACGCTGCCCAGGCCCTGCGCGTGGCCTGGCGCCTCGAGTCCACGGCTCTGGTTCACCGGCCCAGTGCCCGGTCTGGCCCGTCCATGTCCAGCCTGAGACCCAAGTAGGAGAAACATGCTGGATGGGTGCCTGGGCTGGGGCCGCGCGCACCCCCTCCCTGCCCCCACCCCAGCGAGCTCTTCCCGAGACCCCCGGACCCGGCTAAGTTGGATGCAGGAGTGGGTTGGGCAGTGCAGCCTCCAGGGTCACAGCTCAGGGCTGAGTCTGCCCCATGCAGGGTATTGTCTGGGCAATTCCTAGGGGCGCAGCGGAGGCTCCCGGGCCCACTGGGACCCGCCCATGGCCAGTCTATTGGCCTGAGTCTGAAGGATGCGCTGAGCGAGGCAGACTTTCGGCCTGGGGGCCCCGGGGCCTCCTCCCAGGACAGCTCCGCTCAGTGCAGCCGTGGTCTCTGGAAGCCAGGTCGGGGCCTGGAGGGGGGCGGGGGCATCCAGTGCCTGGCCAGGGAAGGGGTTCCCAGGCAGGTGGGCAAAGACTATGGACTCTAGGGCAGCTAGAGGCCCTGTGGTGCGGGGGCTGGGCCCAGGCTGGGCCAGTGGGACTTGCAGAGGCTCCCTGGGTCTCCAGGGAAGGGGCGCCAGCCTGGCCCCCGATTCCCGGTGGGAGCCCCTTTGCTCTGCCCTCTGAAGGGTTGATCTGATGGGTTGACAGGACGGGCCTCGTGAGGGACAGGGCACGGCCCATCGTGGAGGAGGGGGCATGGGGCAGAAGCCGAGTTCATGGAGCTGGCTTTTCTTGGGTGAGACCCACTTACTCTCGTCAGCAAGAGGCCACTGGAGGGCCTGGTTCCTGGGCACAGGGAACGGGTGGGATGGGCGAGGAGCAAGAAGGCTCTGCGGGCCCAGGTCTGGGCAGCTGCCCCACATTGTCGGGCTGGGGAAGCAGCAGAGGGGCGTCGGTGCCCGGCAGTATGTGCACAGACCGACACCGGGCTGGGTGTGGCTCGGGCCCTAGTTGGCTTGCCCCGGTCTAGAGCAGTAGTTCTCAAACTGACTGATCTCGGAACCCTGGAGAGCTTTTGTTTTATCTGTGGGTCCACCACATCGGCCGAGGTGCTGCAGGTGTGCACTGGGAGTAGTGACCAGCTTGCTACACGCCGGTGGGCACTTCATGAGAAAGCTTTCCTGTAAGCAGACTCACTGAGCAGCTGGCCTCGTTTCACGTTTTGAAACCTTTAGTGTCTGCTCAGTAAGAGGCAGTGTGTTCAGCTGTGAGTGTGTGTTGTCGGACTCAAATCCAGCTTTGCACTGATGTGTGCTTGGAAAAGGGGGGACCTCGGGATCCCCAGAAGGTCTTGGCCACACTTTGAGAGCCGCTGGTCTTTGGGGCGGGCCTGGGACTGTGGCCTGTGCACGGAAGGGAGCCGCGTGGCCGTGGGAACAGGTGGCGTGGGTGGGGGCTTCCCTGCTCTGCCGTGGGGCCTGGAGGCCTGGTCTCCCAGGCACCGGGCGGCTACCCTGCACCTTTGGCCTCTGGGCTGCGAGAAGGGGCCTGTCCAGTCCCGGCTGTCAGCCTCTCCTTTCCTCCCAGCAGGAAGATGGCCACAAACTTCCTCGTGCACGAGAAGGTCTGGTTCGACAAGTTCAAATACGACGATGCAGAAAGGAGGTTCTATGAGCAGATGAACGGGCCTGTGGCGGGCTCCTCGCGCCAGGTGAGGGCTGTGCTTGGGGCGCTGGGTGGCTCTGCCCCAGGTGCTGGAGGTGGGGGCCTGTGGGGGGGTCCTGGCTGCTCCTGGGGTCTGTGGAGGGGTCCTGGCTGCTCCTTCTCAGCACGAGGCAGCACACACCCACGGTCTGCAGGCCACTGGGAGCACAGCACGCGCAAGCCTGGGGCCGAGGCCACTGTGGCAGGGCTCTGGCACCTCGCGCATCTCGCTGCCCCGCTGAGCTTCCGTCCTGCACGTCGCTTCCTCGCTCTCCACATGAGGGACATAAGGTTCCTATTTTTTTTGAAATTATAAAATTTTTAATGAAAGAAAAGACTGGTTCTTTCTGCACTGTCTGCAGGAGAACGGCGCAAGCGTGATCCTCCGGGACATTGCGAGAGCCAGAGAGAACATCCAGAAATCCCTGGCCGGAGTGAGTACCGCGGCCGAGCATCCAGGCTGGCGCTGCCGCCGCCCTCATGCCACTGCGCATGACTTCCCCGGTGCCGCTGATGGCTCTGCCCTTGGAGCAAAGCCAGGGCGAGGCTGCTGCGCAGGCACGGACCTGGCCCAGACCACAGGCACCTCTTCCCCTGCCTCCTTGCTGTGCTGATCGCCTGCTTGCTGGCGCTCTACTGGGTCCCCTCCTTTGCTCCCTCCCCGCCAGCCACTTCCTTCTGCTTGCTCTGTGCTAAGGGAAGCCTCCCTTCCCTCCTAGGCCTTGACCTCCCCAGAGGAGCCGGGTTCACAGGGGGTGGAGTTCAAATCACAGAACGAGCACCATCGAGTTTGAGGCCCCGACAGGGGCCCTGCAGCCCAGCTCGGCTTCCTGGTCCCAGATGGGACCATGGCCACCTCTGTCCCTGCCAGGCCAGGAGGCGTGTCCCTAGGAGGCAGCGGACCTACTGGTCTACCTCTCTGGCCAGAGGAGCTGGGGCCTCTCTCTCTGGGACATGGGAGTGTCCTGGCCCTGGAGGCAAGTGTCCGCACAGCTGTGCTCCTTTGGAGCCTCCAGGAGCATCCTTCCCGCCTTTCCAGCTTCTAGAAGCTGCCCACTCCATGGCCTGTGGCTCCTCGCCAGCAGTTCACGGCCTGCTCTAGTCACATCTCCCCTCCCTGCCTTTCTCTCCTGTGGACCTGGGGGGTGACACTGGGCCCACCTGGAAAATCCAGGGTCACCTCCCATCTCCCCTACCTCATCACGTCTGCAAAGTCCTTTTTGCCGTGTGAGGTCACCTGCCTGCACAGCTGGTTCGGGTGTACTGGCTCCTGGCCACAGGCTGGGCAGCCCCGGCAGGTGTCCTCTGGGAAGTGGTGCCACCGCCAGCTGCCCAGCAGGCCCTGCGTTGGGCATGGCCCCTACTTGCCTTGCCTCCTACCTCACCAGGGTGAGCCGGGCAGACACAGGCCCTGGCGGCACGAGGTCTTTGCACCCGGGAGGCTCTTCCCCCTCCCACCCTCGGGCCTGGCTGTGGTGGCCAGCTGCTGGGCCCTGGTCTTTGGGGACAGCTGTGCTGTGCTGCTGGGCTTGGGTCACAAAGCACCACGCACCACAGCGTAAGCGTCAGTCCTTTTCTCGTCATCTGAAGGCTGGAGTCCAGGATCAAGGTGTGGGCAGGGCTGGTTCCTTCCAAGGCCGCATTCTTTGGCCTACAGATGGCCGTTTCTTCCCTTGTCTCTGCATCCTCTTGCCTCTGTGTGTCCTACGAGGACACCAGCCAGTGGGCTAGGACCACCCTAACGACCTCAGTGTGACGGGGTCGCCCTGTAGAGGCCCTGCTCCAGAACTTTGGGTGTGAGTTCATGCTGGGGTGGGGCGGGCATAGCCTTCATGGAGAGGACTGGTGACGTGCAGGGCGGGTACCAGCGACCTGCTGTCTTCCCACCACTCACCTGCCGCGCAGCAGGGCTCGAGGCTCCAGCCTGTTGCCAGGACCCCGCTCACTTGCTCCCGGCACTAACCCCTGGGAGAGGAGCCTCCGAGCTGGGGCCGGACGGCTGGGCGGGGGCGGTAGCTCTGGCCTCCATCCCTGTGTGATCCAGGCCATCGGAGGTCTTAGTGGGAATGGTGTGGGGGCCACGGCTGGTGGTGGCGTCTGAGACGTGGGTGTGGGTGGTCCAACGGGAGCTGCAGAGTTGATGGGTGCTGTTGACTGACCATAGCAGGGCACTGAGGTGCGCCGAGAGGAGGGGAGTGTCGTGAGCAGAGCCCACCTGGTCCCCTGGCTGGTCAGTGCTCCTTCTCCAGCCACACGGCGCCCTGGCCACCCTGAGCCGGCTCTGCTCGGTGGGTCATGGGACAGCGTCAGCCTTGTGCTGCCCGCAGTGAGTGACAGAGCCAGGCACCCGGCACCTGTCCTGCCTGGAGACCTTTAGCCTCTCCGTGGTTGGGGGGTGCGGAGCAGGGCTTGTCTGTGCTGCTTGGGTGG